ATAGGTCACAACCCTAAAAAAAAGCTCTACAATAGGTACTTGATAGCCAAAAATTGCATGTGTTAAGTATTTATATTATATGCGATATTTGATTGATTTTGATTGGATTATACCTAATTTATATGCATATTATTTATTTGTGATATGAAGATGACAAATATCAAATTTGACATAATTGGTAGAAAAAATAAAGAAAAATTCAGACTTGCACCCCTTGGTTACTCATGGCTATTACTAACTCCACCATTTTGACATTGAAAATTAATTAAAAACTCAAAAGTCCAATTGTTACAAAATTAGGACAAATATAAAAGAAAGAACAATATGGGATGTGCCACATACAGATTTAATGAGGAGAACACAGTGCATAACGGTCACAGAGAAAAATCGCACAAGGGCAAGAAGGAGAAAGATTCTTTGAAGAAGATCTCAAGTTCTTCCCATCAATCCGATCTATCTAAGGCGATGTTTATATTTATATTCTTTGTTCTTCCTCTTATGATTAGCAAGTAGTTTACTTTTCTAGTTTAAGAGTGAAAAAACCAACTTGGTATGGATTTGTGAGATTAGATTTTGTTTTGATTTTATAATATTTCTTGGTTCTAAATATTTATATGATTTCTGATTTTAATGTTTAATAATTTTTTATTTGGTTGGATATTGTGACCAGATATTTCAATTAGATTAAAGATTAATTGCTAAACTAAATTAGGCATCCGTAATTGTATTTTAATTTGGTTTAAGTAGCAATTAGGGGCAAAAACCACTAGGAAATCACGGAATCAATTTTAAACAGTTCTGTGTAGGTAATTGCTAAATTGAATTAGACTCTTCTAATTCGTAGGACGGTTAGGCTAGTAAATTTTTTGCGGCGCGCGTGTCGGTAACTATAACTAATTTATTTAGAAACCAATGAAATTAAATATTTATCGATGATCAAATCCACTATCCAAGTTGTCAATTTCATTCATAAACTGGAAGCTTAATTTTATTGAATTTATGTTTTAGTTGTAAATTTCTAGTTATTTTTAATTTTTATTTCTATCTTCCAAAACCCCCCATTTATTATATCTATATATTAAACAATTGAATATAAAATATTTTTTATTTCCTTAGGAGACGACCCTACTTCAATTATACTACGTTATTTTTATTTTGGAAGTAGGTTTATTATATTTAATTTTGCAGCGTGTGACGAACGCTTGTCAATTCTCCTCGTCATTACTCCCTCCTCAGTGCTCCTCCGCATTACTCTCTTCTCGACGCTCCTCGGCATTCTCCTCTGTATTGTTCCCTCTTCGGTGCTCCTCGGCATTCTCCTCGGTATTGCTCGGCCAATATTTCGATGCAGGACATCAGGATGGGTGACATAGCTTTTGTTTCCTACGTGGGATACATTCCATATATTTCTACTTCTTCTCTTTCAAAATCACACACCAACATCTATAATATACGGCGGCCAGATCTTCCGAAGTGTGACATCTTTGTTGAGCTTCACTCGGCCGGGTTTGATTTCTAATGTTTTTTCTTCCCTTCATTTCTCTAATCAAACAAAAAATACTAATTTTTTCTCGTCTCATCTTCATTTCTTTCCGTATTAACAAAATATGTTCTTAAAATTTTAATATTATCTCCACTCCTCTCCTCTTCTGTATTAAAATCTCTTTCCTTCCCTATGTTGAACCAAATGTACTCTTAAAAAAATATGTTGAAACTAAGGGTGTGTTTATTTGGATTTTGAAATGTAGAATTTTGAATTTCAATAATAGTATTTGATATTCTCATTATTTAAATATATGTTGATTTTTTTTTTTAAATTAGTAATAAAAGATATATATTTTTTTTATTATTTTTTTTCTTATTTTTTCACCCTATAGTGCTCTGTGGGAGGGTTTTACCGGTGAGACTTAAAAAAAAATAAAAATAAAAAATGAAGAAAATGAAAGAAAAAAAAAACCTAAATTGCAATTTTATAAAAATTCTAAATTTTATTCAAAATTAATAATAATAAAATTTAAATAAACATTGCCATACGTCAACCGCTCATTGGGTGGGGCAGTGGGCTGGTGTATCGTGACTGTGTGATGTTGTATAAATATGCTGATTGATTCAAATTAATAAGACATGAATTCACTTCATTTTCTATCATTGTATTCGACCCATCTCTTCTTACCCCCATCTCTATGTTCATTTAATATACTTTATATATATATGTTTTTTTTTTTTCGCCAAAAATCCAAGTTTCTACTATTTAGACTATGTGTTTTTCGAAAAAAATATACTTTTTTTCTCTCACAGAATATTCCATCATATATTATTTTAGTACCAAACTCAAATCAAAATTTTTCCAAACCTATAAAAAGAAACACACCCTAAATTTTATTACTTACATATATATCTATTAATCTATCTATATAACTATACATATATATACTTTTTTATATATTAAATAACAATTTAATATATAGTTTTGTCAAAAAAACGTTATAATTTTATTTATCCAAATAAATGTTAAAGGAAATAATGAGTGAAAATCAAGATAAAAAAATTTAAATCAAAATTAAATAATAGATTTGAACTAAGAACGTATTTTGAAGTAAATTTAATTCTGCCATCTTGCTATCCCGAATAAAACAAATGAATTGGAGTCAAGAACTCCATTTCGGATAAAACGAATAGATTTGAATTAAGAATTCTATAGCTAGCCAAACTAAGAAAAATTTGAAAATTTCAAAGATAAGAATTGAAGAACTAAAATTTAATAGATTAAGTGGGTGTTTGACAAACAATTTTTTCAAAGATTTTTAGCTTATTTAAAAGTTTTTAACTGTTTGACCAATCAACGTTTTGAAAGAATTTTTTCATTTTAATTTTATTTATTCCTTATGTTATTATTTATTTCACATATATATAAATATATTTTATACTGCACTAATTATAAATGATAATTAATATAGTAAATATATATATATATATCAAAATTTTATTATTTTATAGTTTACATCATTCTTAATAAAAAATATTCATATTTCTTAATAAAAATATATACTATTATTTTTTTAATCTAAAATTAATTAAAAAATATTTTATAACACATTCGTAATTTTAAATAACTAATAATAAAAATTTAAAAATTTTTAAAACTAAAAAAACACAATTAAAACTTTTTTAAAGTTAAAATATAAATGTCATCAATTGTCATTTTACATATAAACAGCAAATATCAAACAGTTATTTTACCAAACACTTTAATATAAACCGTTAATTGAATCAGCTAATCAAACCAGCTATCAGCTGATTGCCAAACACACCTTAAGAGGGTGTTTGGGTGTTTGGGCAAGAGCGTTTTGAAAGAGTTTTTAGCTTATTGAACAACTTTTAGTTGTTTGACCAGTCAAACAACTAATTTAAGTGTTTGATAAATTAGCTTTTTGAAATAGATTTTTGAACCCAAAAAGCTAATTTATGAAAAACGAACTTATCCAACGTTTTGAAATATCTTTTTCATTCCTTATTTGCCCTTAAAAATTTATTATGCATTTTACACAAATAATTATATTTTGATTATTTATTAATTATATTAGAATATTTTATTATATTATAGTTACTTTTATAAATTTAAAATAATTAATTTTTATATATAAATTATTTTAATTGTGTAAAATATATAAATTTATTAAAATCAACACAAATAGAAAATATAAATATTGATAATTTATTTTTATATTAAAATTACATTATATACATTTTATACTAAAAATAAATTAAATTTATTGAAAATTATAAATATAATGAACTAATCGATTATTAACATAATAAATATATACACAAAAAATTTATTATTTTATATTTTACACCATTTTCAATAGAAAAAATTATTTTTAATTTTTCAATAAAAAAGATTATTTTTTAAATCTAACTATAATAAAAATAAATATTATTTTATAACACTTTTACAATTTCAATAACTAATAAAAATTTTCAAACATTCTAAATTCAAAATAATACAATTGAATATATTATAAAAAAATAAAATAGAAATATCTTTGATTGTCATTTTATGTATAAACAGCTAATATCAAACAAATTGTTTTATCAAACAAACATTTAATCGAATAAGCTAGTCAAACCAGTTAATTGAATAAGCTAATAGTTATCAACTAATTGAATCAGCTAATTGCCAAATACAGAAAAATAAAAAATAAAAAATTAATTGTTTCACGTCGAGTAAAAACCACCGAATAAATTATTTTTCTATAATTGGGCCTAGCCCATGAACCTTACAGTTCTAAAGCCCAATTTTGTATATATATATATATGTAAACTGAGGCTAATATCAAAGTAAGTTCATACTTAATTGAGTTCAATCCAATTAATTCTTTAAAATCACCTTGCATTTAAAGAGATGAAATTTCTTTGAATTTTTGGAACAAAATTCATCACATTTTTCTTTTTCCTCTGGTGTGTTTGTTTGGAGATTGGATTGAATTTACATTATTCACCCAATTTTTTTCTTCCCAAAACATCAAATCAAACACCTATTTTTTATTTTTTATATTATACTAAAAATTAATTTTACATTCAAAATATCACATGATCACATATTTATATCACATCATACAACTATTCAAATTCAAAATTTTTACTATTCAAATCCTAACTCAAAATCCAAACCCCAGAACAAACACACCCTAATTAGTACAAATTTCAAACCCCACGACGGATAGACCTAAGTCCTAATAAAAAATTTAAAAAAAATGAAAATAAAAAAGTAAAAAATCGTAAGTGGAAAAGTCTGGGTTTGGAATGGAGCTGAAGCTTTAATCTGGAGTGCATTTAAAAGAGGATGGGGCAGAGGCAATCAATTATAACAGGGACACGTGTAGGGCAGAGATTTTCCGAAGATGGGCCCCATTTTACTATACACCACGTCTTCGCCATGCAATGCAAGAGCAACACAAATATTAATAATTAGATTTTAAAAATAAATGAACTCCGCCGCTCCAACTGCGCGCATTTATAGCCGTTACCGGTCTTCTCGTTCTCCTCCTCCCTAATCTCCATCCATTCCTCCATGGGGAACGACGCCGTTTTGAGGACCTGCCTCGTCGGATTAGCGGCGGCGACCTTCTTAACAGCACTCTGCACTCACTCCTGGAGGAAAACTGCCGCCACTTACTGGATCGGAATGCTCGCTATCTGCGGCGTCGTTTTGCCTGACTGGAAGTTCTTCGACCGTCCTGTCTCTCAGTGGCACACTCTCGTCGCCGACGACGCCGATCCTCCGCCTCTGATGAGGTAATTTAAGCTAACTGCTCATTCCGATTAATTGAATTGCAGTTTTCCCAATTTCCAATTTGATTTTGACCTAATTTTGGAGCAGGTTGAGATTATATCCAATCCGAGTGTTGTTATATGCCGCAGTGTACGGATTTGGTTTGCGCAAGTGGTGGAGCTTCATTTCCAGCTAAGTATAAATCAACCAATGTTGTTCGAGCTGCTCTGAGCTTAAACACCACACTGCTAGCTTCGTCAAGCCTGGAGCAACCTAGCTACGCAATACCTGCAGATATTACACGCGCACACACACACATATATATACATATATATATATATTTAGAGAGAGAGAGAGGGAAAGCGAGAGCGAGAGAGAGAGGTGTTTGTGTTTGTTTGCTCTTGTAACAGAACATAGTTTCCATAGTCATCATCTCTGCTTCGTTCCAAAATTGTGTTCATCTCTGTTTTTTCTTCTCTGTATAAGCAACATAAATAACAGTGTACTTCTCAAATTTCGCATTAGGCATATGGTGCGAGACATTCAGATTCTTTCAAAATATCTTTTCACTTCCTGACATAGTTAATTGATAGGTGAGAATCAGGCCCAGGAGGAGCGCAGATGATTTGAATTTGAGTCGGGTCGAGCGAGCAATAAGTAAGAATTTCTTGTGTGTTGTTGTTGGTTCATCATTGATCATCCTTATATGATCTCTGTTTCTTGTTCTAAGATTTTGATTCTTCCATATTGGTTCTTTCTGTTCTAGTTTAGATCACTAAAGTTACATATTTTCTGATTTCTGTTCTTGTTTAGATCACTAAAGTCATAGTTTCTGATTTCTGTTTCTGTTTAGAGATCACTAAAATGATATTTGGTTTGGATCGTCAAGAACATGCTGTGCTGGTTCATCGTTATAGATTTTGATTCTTCCATATTGGTGATTTTTGTTCTTGTTTAGATCACTAGAACTAAATATTTTCTGATTTCTGTTTCTGTTCAGAGATCAAGAACATCGGTTTCTCTTTTCAGTTTTGTAGAGATTAGGGAAAAATATTGTATTGATTAAAAGAAGATGATACAACTTAATATATATACAAAAAAAACAGAACATAACAACGAATACAACCTACTAATTATTGGGCTTCTGAGCTAATAATTTGAATAAAAAGAATAGACTAAGGCCCATAAAGAATAGGCCCAAGAAAGGGAAACACATTAGCCTGCTGGAGCTATCTTCTTCTTCATGGTTGTATCACCTTCACATTCTTCATCAGCTTCTGAAATTGAGGAGGAGCTGTCACCAATCCAGCGAGGATCAATTGCTTGACACTCTCCCCTCGGACCCAACGTGTCCATACGAAGTCTGGTCCAAATATTTTTAAAAGCCGGTCCACATAGAGCTTTAGTGAAAATATAGGCAGTTTGAAGCTTGCTCCTCACATGAACCAAAGAGATGAATCCATGCAGATAGTGATGTCGTACTAGATGACATGCTATTTCAATGTGCTTCGTTTTCTCATGAAAGATTGGATTTTTTGCAATATCAAGTACAAATTGATTGTCTCAATGAAGCGGGATAGGTAATAGAACAAGTACCTTCAAAGCATCAAGTATGTAAGAAATCCAAAGCAATTCACACATTGTAATGCATATAATTCTGTATTTTGTTTCAGTAGAGGAAGTGCTCACGGTTGGTTGTTTATTAGCTTTCTATGATATGAGATTAGACCTAATATATATAAGATAACTAGTTATAGACTTCCAGGAGTCAGGGCAGGTGCCCCAATCAGCATCACTTAATGCTTCTAGTTGCAATCCTGAGCTGGAATCAAATATGAGTCCATAATTCATAGTCCCTCTGAGATATCAAAGCAGATGGAGGGCTGCTTTCTAGTGTGAGGATGAGGGTCTGTCCATGAATTGACTTAACTGTTGTGTTGCGAAAGCAATATCAGGCATGGAAAAATTCAAGTACAATAAGACTTGAGTATTAATAATGCTTTTCTCCATGGCACATTAGAAGAAGAATTGGATATTCCAACATTTTGAAACAGCTATGGAAAGCACAAGTCTTATTGTCACACTCTTGGTCATGGGTACAAAATACTCATCATAATCGATCATATGCACTTGTAGATAACCCTTTGCAACTAATCTAGCTTTGAATCTACTTATGGATCCATCTTTGTTCCGTTTTATCCTGTAAACCCATTTGCTTCCTATTGCCTTCATTCCTTTGGGTAGATAGGATAGTTCCCAAGTGTCATTAGTTTCCATAGCTTTAATTTCTTCAATCATAGTTTCTATCCATTTTCTTTTCTTTACTGCTTCTGAATAAGTGAAAGGTTATTCTACTCCAGCTTCAATGGTGGCACAAAAACAAACATAATCTTTCATCCAACATGGCCTTTTTATTGTTTTGTGAGCTCTACTTAGCAGCTCATCACGAGTAACAGAAATGTTTTTACCATCATTTGCAACATCTTGTGAGATGATACCGTTGGATGAGCTTGAACATTCAATAGGAAGGTCAGCATTACCATTTGTTGCCCCCTCCTCAGTACTTGGAGTGGAAGTTGAAATTGCAGATTCTGGCATAGGAAGATCAACATCACCATCTGTTGCCCCTTCCTCAGTACTTGGAATGGAAGTTTGGAATTGCACTGGCAAAGGAGTATCTCTGCTTTGATCTTCTTCAAGTAGCACTTTTGACATAGGCAAAAGCTCACTCTTATATGAATTAGGATGAGAGGTAGAGTTCTAAATCAAGCATGGAAACAAATGTTCATAAAAGATGACATCTCTGCTGATTAGTATCTTCTTTGTTTCAAGGTTAAGCACCTCGTAACCTCTTGTACCAGGTTCATATCCCACAAAAATTCCCTTAACAACCCATTTTCCTAATTTTGTCATTGAAGGATTTGTATTGGAAGCATAACACAAGCATCCAAACACCCGTAAGTGTTCAAGGTTGCGATTAGAACCATGCAGTACCTGGCAAAGTGATTTCGAGTTTATCACAGGAGTAGGGAGTAAGTTGACGATGTAAGAAGAGCCTCTCCCCACAAGTTATCTGGTAAGTGTGCATGAAACAACAAAGATCTCATCATTTCCAAGACGTGCTGATGTTTCCGTTCAACTCTTCCATTCTGTTGGGGTCGATAAACACATGTCATTTGGTGGGAGATTCCATTTTCATGAATTAAATTTTAGAAGGTATGACTTAAGAACTCAGATCCATTATCTGTTCTGACAATATTTTATGCAATAATAGAAATAAATAGTTCATCTCTCTCTCGCTCTCTTTCTAGATATATTCCATCATAGTGTTGTTACAGCCAACTCACGTCCTAACCTCCAATGTGAGAAGTTCAGACAGGTTCCGATTTCTACTGCATGAATTTGTAGTTAGGACCCGCAGGGTGAGCCTTGGATGTCATCACCAACATGTCACACCTCCCGCGGCTCTCCGTAACCACATAGTGCCGGCAGTTGCCTGTAAGTTCAGCCGGAGCCCCATGCTCCTGGTGGCGGGAGGTACATTGAGATTTTGTGCATCAACCCTCTGGTTAGTCCTCGTGTTGTGGAAGTATAATTTTCCTGACTGTGTGCGTGAATATCACATACATATCTATTAACTTGCATTATATAACAAATTTCGCGCGCATGTGTATATATATATATATTCAATGACCTTGATGTTGTGCCATTGTTGAAACTATAACGGGAGACAGGATTGGTAGTGATCAAATAGCGGCGGCGGCGGAAGACTTTTCGGAGATGGCTTGATCATCCCATTTCCTCTTCTTGGATAGAGATTCAGTAGTTAAGATCATTTTTTTGTTTTGTTGTTGATGGTTACGATGAGATGAGTAGGTCTAAGCAATTTAAGGATGTTAAAGAATGGATATAGTTAGACGATGGTAGTAAGAATTCCGTGAAAATCTTTGTTGGGTATGTGGATATGTATATATATAGACGCATGTATCTATATACTAGTGCTCGTACTCATGCGCGGTGCATAACATAAAATATTTGTATTTTATTTTGTAAGACTGTTATATTTATATTATATTTTGTTGAACAATTGATAACTATTTTTATCAATCCAAATATTAATAATTATATTTTGAACAATTAGAATATTCATAACATCAGAGTGGAAAACATTGATAGCTAAAGAGGAATCTTCATACAAAGAATGGATACGTGAAAATATTGAATTTACCTTAACGGATGTCATCCGTTAAGACTGAAATCCCGATAGATGAGAAAATTTGTTAGAATAAAAATTTGAGTTTTTATGCACATCAGTACAATAGAATTTCTCAAAACATAATCCATCACCGCATTGAAAAAATAGTGGTGCAGCTAAGGAGGAAAGGGAAACTGAGAAGAATGAAGGGAATGACATAGTTTGGGAAGGAAGAAGAAAATGAACACGGAAGACAGTTGACTTTGGATTTATACCAAAGAGTGGGTGAAAAGATTAGTGAGCCGGAGAATACTATTCTCATATCATAAATGCGATCAGATCCAACACACAATCGGCCATCTCGATTTTTGGGCATCGGTGAATCCTATTAGAAATAGATCACATAAGATCATAGCAGTGTATCTAGAGAGGTGAATCCTATTATAAATACAATATATAAAATAACAACACATACTATTGTCTTATACAACATATGCAAGAATTGATTTTAACGCACACACATATTCTTGTACAATACACTAGTAATTACAATAAAATATATATGTTTTTATTACACACATATGTTGTGTGTACTAAGAATGTGTGTTTGTGTACATTACGCATGTTGATAATCAATCCTATAACTATCTCAAAAACCCATAAATTCTATTGTTTCTTAATTTTATTTTTATTTTTATTTTAATTAAAAACAAAGCCAACATATTTGTCTCTCTTAAGTTCTTTTGACCTCTTAACAAAATTAATATGTAATTTTTGTTATGTAATAATAATATAATATAATAGTAAGTATAATATATATATTAACATATGTGTGATATATATATTGGATGCAAAATGGTAGGTATATATATGTATATATATATATGTATACCAAGTATAGGAAACAAGAGAGAGATAAGAGAAAATTTATAATGTTTTATTGAAAATGAATGTCCCATTCAAGAATGCCTTCACATACATATTTATAGATATTGAGTGGGTCAAACAAAGGTGTATATTTAGCCACCATTCTATGACGCGTTCTGTTATTGAGCATCCACATTAGTGTAAACGTAGTATCTATGCAGCTACTTCGTTTACAATACTCTGTTTTGGACTTCATTTGATGTCTTTCATCCGACGTATTCCAATTCCTTGCACCAGTTTGTTGAATGTAGCAGTCGGTAGCGCCTTCATAAATAACTCTGCAAAATTTTAAGATGATCGAATTTGTTGCACATTAATTTCAACACTTTTATGAAGATTCTATATAGGCCCTTTATTTGAATGATCTATAATACAATCTTATTATTTTCCCCAAAAATTTCT